GGGGGTGGAAAAATGTTCTGGGGTCCCAAAGATCAGGAAAGTCAGTGGAGTCCAAGAAGACCCCGTAATATTTTTACCCTGGGGTACAAATATCATGCGGTCCTCTTGGGCCCTTATGGCCGTCCCGATCCTTTTGCAACCCCATAATATTTTGACCCCTCCTTCTCCAGTGCCCACGTGGTGTCTGAACGGCCCCTAATGAGGTCCAAAGCAGCTTTCAGCGCGTGTGCAGTGATGAGGCGTGTGAAATCACTTTATAAGTGAATAACCTCACAGAGGTGGAGGGGGGCACCATAAAATGGCCTCGGGAACATAGTGGAACAGCGCTGTTGTTGGCGAAAATGTGAGGCTCATCAGGTCCATGAGAAACGGGTCCATGACACCGGCCCACCCGCGGCGCGCCCACCGCGCCCGTGTCCTTCCCCGCCGAGCAGGGGCTTCGTCGAATAAATACCGTGGAAATATACTATAGCAAAGTCGGGCGCCTTGTCAAAGTGAGTATCGAGAGAAGTAGAAGGAGCGCACTTTCGGCTTTACGCTTTTAGTCCTCGCGGTACACGGCTACACGGCCCGGGCGGTGGCGCCACGCCATCGCTTTAAACGTTGTGCCTGTCTAGTTGGACGCCCGCGCGCAGCACCTGACAGGAGCTTGCCGTGATCCTCGGCGCGATTGCTGTCGGGTCGGGTCGGAGCGACAAGGCTCACGACGGCGCGACCGCGGGGCGTTCCGCGCGGAATATACACAACGATTCCATCCACGAAAAGAGAGGGTTTTTTTTTTTTTTTTGTTCTTTTTTTGGTAAAGTAAAAAAACTCTCCCTGAAGAAAATCGGAAAAAATTGACATGTTTACAGAAAACTGGAAAAGAGTAAAACTGTTTAGAAGAAGATTAAGAGATTAAACCGAAAAATTCTGGAAAATTAAAAATGGTGCGGGTCCTTGGTTGGCGATGCGCAGGTTCTGCCCGCCATGTTTCACACGGCGTCCATCTGGCTGACGCTGGCGCTGGCGCTGCAGCGCTACATCTACGTGTGCCACGCGCCCGTGGCGCGCACCTACTGCAGCATGCCCCGCGTCCTCAAGCTCATCGGCATCGTCTTCTTCTGCGCCGCCTGCCACCAGGCGCCCCGCCTCTTCGACCGCACCTACCGACCCATCTTCATCACCTGGGAGGGCAACCCCAACGTCATGGTGTGTCGGGTGAGTGGGCCCGGGGGGGTAGAAACATCATGGGGTCACCTATAAAGTGCAACAATGGTCCTGATACTTTTAGGACACCATAATATTTGTACCCCCCGGGGTACAAATATCACGGGGTCCCCCATGTACTCCAATAACGATCCTGATAGTTTTGGCACCCCATATTATTTGTACCCCCCCCCCTTTTTTCTTCCGCAGGTGGACATGGCCTACTGGGTGACGGACGTGCTCACCATGGACGTGTACTTCTTCAGCTACTACATGTTCCGCGTGCTGTTCGTGCACCTGCTGCCGTGCATCTCGCTGGTCGTGCTCAACGTCCTCCTGTTCAAGGCCCTGCGCCAGGCCCAGGACAAGCGCAACAAGCTGCTCAAGGAGAACCGCAAGAGCGAGTGCCGCAAGCTGCGCGACTCCAACTGCACCACGCTCATGCTCATCGTGGTCGTGACGGTGAGTTGCGTCATCGCGTAGCTGGGC